TCCTCCCCTCCCGGCTGCTCTTCCCGATCCCCATCCCATCACTTCACCCCCCCCCGCCCGCCTCCCCTGCCCACTCTCCCCGACATCCCTCCTCCGCTTCCCTCCCCAGCGCTCCTCCCCTTCACCTTCGTCCTCCCCCCCTCCCCTCCCCCTCGCCCCCCTCCTCTCAACCGCCCCTTCCCCCCTCTCCTGCCCTGCCCCCTCCGCCCTTCCCCCGCGGCCCCCAACTCCTGCCGCCCGCGTCCCCCCCCCCCCCACACACGGCTCCCCCCACCATTTTCCCTCGCACCCTCTGCCCTCCCGCATCCTGCCCTGGCCCTCGCCTCCCCTGCGGCGTCTCCTCCTGTCACGCCCTCCCCTGCGGCGCTCCCAGCCCTCCCCTCCTCCCGTCCGATGGCGGCCAAGACGGCGGCGACGACGACGACGGCAACGACGCCGACGCGACGACTCTGCAACGACGGCAAAACGGTGACGCCGCCAGCGATGACGGCGACGACGCCGCAGACGACGGCGACCGCGCCGGTGCCGCCGACGTGACGGTGACGAGTGCGACCGCGACGGCGACGACGGCGACTGCGCCAGCGATGACGATGACGTCTACGACAGCGACGACGCCGACGCCGACGCCTGCGACGGCGGCGACGAGACGACCGCAGCGGCCACGGCAACGACGGCGACGGCGGCGAGGCGACGGCGACGACGGCGACGACAGCGACGACGGCGGTTGCGACGACCACGGCGACGACGGCGGCGACGGCGTCGCCGACTGCGACGGCGACGGTGACGACGATGTTGGGGCTAACGCGCTCACTTGCTGGAAGATCTCTCGCACGAAACTACCAAAATGGACTCCGTCAGGACGAACACATTGATCCATTTTGGCCTTCCGAGCAGAAGCGTATCAGCTCGGTTCGGAGAGAACTGCTCTATCGTTACAAATGTGCTACGAACTTTTAACACGGGGAGCAAGGTCTCCGTTCCGCGCGCCCCCCCGACAAGGCGAGACGATCTAGCGAGTCAATCTCGGGGAGGGCGGGGGCGGTCAGCCATCTAGCTCCTCCCTGCGCCCGAACTCCTCTGAGCTTCTCCTGTCGAGCTCTAGGAGACTCTCGGCGGCGGGCGGGGCATTCGTCGTCGTCGCCTCCTCTCCTCCTCGTCGCGCGCACCGTTTCTCTCGCCCTGTGCTCTTCTCCTGTCTCCTCACCTCCGGCGCACCTCCACGTGGGGGAGGCCGGTGATCGCTGCAGCACCCTGGCCCCGCGCGGGCGCGAATCCCGCAAGAAAAGCGGCCGCGCGCCCGCTCGCCCGCCCGCGGCGCCCGTGCTCCCGTCCGCCCGCCATCGATGCTCGCGCGCGCGCACCCGCGCCCGCGTCCGCGCCGCCCGCTCGCCCGCCCGCGCCGCTCCGCGAAAGCCCCGCTGCCCGCCCCCGTCGGGGCGCGTCCGCGCGCGCGCGCTCGACCCCCGCGCTTGCGCGCTCTCGCCGCACGCCCGCGGGCTTGCGCGGGCTTGCCCGCGGGCTTGCGCGCGGGCTTGCCCGCGGGCTTGCCCACGGCGCCCGCCCTGCTCGCAGCCCGAGCGGGGAGAGCTGAGCTGTGGCCGAACTTCCACGGCCGCAGTGTGAGGCGTGGCGCTTCCGCGGGCGACGGTCGCGGGTGCGTCAGCCTTGGAGCTGTGGTGGGTACCGCGGTGGTGCGAGCACCACAACGTCGGTGCGGACCACAGCGGGCTGTGGGCACCGACGCGGTTGTGCGCACGGAGCCTCGAGCACCTCAAAGCATGAACGGGGCACCGCAAGGCGCTGGGCACAGCAACGGAAAGTTCTGTGTAGAACCTTGCGCACCCCTGGGAAAACATACGCCTCCAGCGGGAACAGAACACTGCGGTGCGAGAGCCAGGCAACGGCAGGCGCTCGGGGGAGAACACATGTCCGTGGAAACCCCTCGCGGTTTCCCGAAAGGCATGGGAGCCCCTGGGGACCTGGTGGAGGCCTTCGTGGGTCGTCATCATGTCGTCAATTCCTCCACCCATCCATTCCTCATCACTCCCTCCCTCCTTCCTGCTTCCCAGCCCTGATCCCTGCAACTATCCATTCCTCCCTCCGACCTCCTCCTCCCTCCCTCCCTCCGTCATCTTTCATGTCTCCTCCTTTCATCTGTCCTCCCTCCATCCCTCGACTTCTCCACCCATCCATTCCTTCGCACTCCATCCCTCCTTCCCCCCTCCCTCCTCCAATCCCTTCAGCCATCAAATCATCCCTCCGACCTCCCGAGCCCTAGACCGAGCCTGAGAGACGGCCCAGGGACGCCCAAAGTGGCCTCGTAGGGGCCCATTTCTGAGCCTGAGCCCGGCCCAAGATGGGATCACGACAGCCCAAGATGACTCAAAGACGGCCCAAGAGGCCTCCTAGACGGCCCAAGACGCCCAAAGTGGCCTTGTGGGGGCCCATTTCCGAGCCTGAGCCCGGCCTAAGATGGGATCAAGACGGCCCAAGACGACTCCAAGACGGCCCGAGAGGCCCCCGAGACGGCCCAAGACGCCCAAGGTGGCCTCGTGAGGGCCCGAGGCTTCACAAGCGCGTTCCACTGCTCGCAAAGTGACTGCTCGCAACTGGCCTGGATTCGTCGTGGAGGATCTGCGATACATTACCACGAGGCAGACGCTTGTTTTGTCGGACGCTTGCGGGTAGGCACTCTTGCGAGCATTGGAGCGCGCTCGGTGAGAGGCAGAACAGCCTGCCTACCACCATCACTCCCGAATGGGAGCCACTCGCCATCGCTCGGACGTCCGTTCCCCGTGTTCCTTTCGGTGTCGTGCGTGGCTGTTTCGCCAAATGGTCCAGGATGCTCCTCGACTGTCCTCGCCGAAGGACCAATGCACACGTCCGAGCGATGTCGAGGCCAAGCAGCACTTGCCCGCCCTCTCGCGGGGAGCGTCCGCGTGCCCCCGTGCGCTGGCAGGCGGTGCCCACGCCCGGCGGTGTTCCCAAGATGATGGGCCTGTTTTCCACCACCACCACGATAAGTTGGATGGGGGGAAGGAGGAGGAGGGGGAGGAGGAGGAGGAGGAGGAGGAGGAGGAGGAGGAGGAGGAGGAGGAGGAGGAGGAGGAGGAGGAGGAGGAGGAGGAGGGGGAGGGAGGAGGAGGAGGAGGAGGAGGAGGGGGAGGAGGAGGAGAGGAGGAGGAGGAGGAGGTATAGAGCCTCGGACTTGGGGCTTCGGTTGAGCCGACCCAAGAACTCACAACGCTTCGTGGAGGTGTGAAGGGGTCGTTTGTCCAAATCACGCAAAGCCTGCTTGAAAAAGGAAAGGGAGAAGGACGGAGGAGGAGGGGGAGGAGGAGGAGGAGGAGGAGGAGGAGGAGGAGGAGGAGGAGGAGGAGGAGGAGGAGGAGGGGGAGGAGGAGAGGAGGAGGAGGAGGAGGAGGAGGGGAGGAGGAGGAGGAGGAGGAGGAGGAGGAGGGAGGAGGAGGAGGAGGAGGAGGAGGAGGAGGAGGAGGAGGAGGAGGAGGAGGAGGGAGGAGGAGGAGGAGGAGGAGGAGGACCCCCCCCCTCCCCCTCCAACTTCTGGTGGTGGTGGAGGACAAGCCCTTCGCACCGCCGGGCCCCGAACTCCCAGACATTGCCGTGAACGTCGTTGGATATCGTACCAAACGGCACTTCGGTACAATGCCGGGACAACTCAGTAGACTACCCAAGAAAACGTTTCGAGTAGAATGCAAACAATGCCTTACGGCCTGTGGCCCGCATGCGGAACACAACAGCGTTGACGGGGGTCTGGCATGCTATAAACCGCGTTCTGGACGATGTCGAGTTCCCCTGGCAGCCTTCACAATTTTTGCAGCACGTGCCGTCCTCCGTCATGCCCATCCTGCCACCGGTTTCTCCCTCATCCTACCTCGTTCCATACTCATCCGTGTGTAGCTTCATCCGCTCCCTCCTGTGGCCCGCTTCCTCCTTCTCTTTCCCCCTGCGATTCCAGCACCTTCAAGTACGACTCACGTTTTCCCAGCATGGTACGTACCAAATTATCCTCGCACGATGCCAAACATCCATTGGGATGTTTTCTTTCAATTTGTTTTATTATTATTATTGTTGTTAGTTGTTTCGTTTTTTGTCCATTGGGATGGTCTCTAGGAAGTCCGTGGCCTGACAGTTCGATACGGCGGGGGGGGCGCTGACGCGCATGCTGCGCCAATCTGGAGGTGCGCGGCCATGACCTGGTTTTGCTTGGACGCGAAGGCGGGGGAGGTGAATCTCCTCTGAGTCACACCTAAAACAAATTACTTGAGGTATAGAGCATCGGACTTGGGGCTTCGGTTGAGCCGACCCAAGAACTCACAACGCTTCGTGGAGGTGTGGAAGGGGTCGTTTGTCCAAATCACGCAAAGCCTGCTTGAAAAAGGAAAAGGAGAAGGACGGAGGAGGAGGAGGAGGAGGAGGAGGACGAGGAGGAGGATGAGAAAAGAGGAGGAGGAGGAGGAGGAGGAGGGTGAGAAGAAGTAAGCCCTGGAGAGGGGGCAAAGATAGGGGGGGTCTCGCCCACCTCTGCCTTCAGCACCCCATCTGAGCCCTCCAGGATGTCATGTGGGACAGGAACGGCCTCGTCGTGCCCCAGTGGCATGTTGTCGAGCCATCTCAGCAGCTCGCTCTCGCGCCTGTCGCAACAACTCCAGGCAGGCTTGCTGTCCTAGACAAACAGAAAATGGCATGAACATGATTTCTCGGAGGTCCGCGCGGATTTCAGGAATCGGCGCTGGACCCCCCTCCCTGGCGCGCGGAGCGCGCCAGGGGCGGTGCCGGAGGCGCCGCCAGGAGGGCCCCCAGCGCCGATCCCCCGAATCTTTGCGGACCTCAGATAAACTAATCTCATGTGCTATCTCCTTTCAGGGCTGGACCCAGACGCTGTTTTAGGTTCTTGTTTTTTTTCGTTCTGCTCCACCTGTTCTCCTGTGCCTCCCTGCCGAAACGAAAAGTTCAGCAAAACAGCGTTTAGGTCCAGCCCTGTCTTCTGATCTTCGAGGCTTGATGTCCGCTGGCGTAGCTTCCGCTGTCTCGGCCGCATCGCCGATCTCCGCCGTGCCGTCCTCCAGAGACCAGCGCGAGCTGAGGACGCTGTCGATGAAGGGCAGGGCACTCTCGTCCACGCTCGCCTCGCTGGGCTGCTTGACAGTGAACTGCCTCTCGACGTTGGCGCAGCCCTCGCCGGCCTCGCTGTTCATGCTTCCCGTGGATACCACCATAGACGTCTGGCTGGTTCGACCCATCCTTGGGCAGTGGCATGCGGACCCTACAGTCGTCGTCGTCGTCGTCGTCGTCGTCGTCGTCGTCGTCGTCGTCGCCGTCGCCGTGGCCGTGGCCGTGGCCGTCGCCGTCGCCGTCGCCGTGGCCGTCGCCGTCGCCGTCGCCGTGGCCGTGGCCGTCGCCGTGGCCGTCGCCGTGGTCGTGGCCGTCGCCGTCGCCGTCGCCGTGGCCGTCGCCGTGGCCGTCGCCGTGGCCGTGGCCGTCGCCGTGGCCGTGGCCGTCGCCGTGGCCGTCGCCGTGGTCGTGGCCGTCGCCGTTGCCGTGGCCGTCCCTGCAGGTCAGACTCCTTAAAATCGGCTGGGGGTTAGAATCCCACCAGCCCTCTGGGCGTACGGCAGGTTCGTGTCGTGCCGACCCCGGCGTTGGTTTTTGGCACCGTAGGGATCGTTCAACCTTGAACGATCGGCCGCTGCCGCAACGTCCGATCGTTCAACATCGATCGATTCTGGGTCGCCGGCGGCGTTCAACCTTGAACGCCCGCGCTGGGGTCGCCGCTGGTCGGCACGACGCAGACCTACCGTAGGTGGTCTAGGGAGGCTCCTCTTCATTCCCCTTCCTTCCCCTTCGGGGAGGGGTTCGTCTCTCCCCATTTACCCCCCCCCCCTGGCCTTGTGGATAGGGGGGCCACGCGAGGCGCTGGGGCGTCCGAGATGGCAAACAAAACGGCTACGAGAGCGCCTCAGGAGCGCCCAAGATGACCTCCAAGATGGCTCAAGATGGCCCAAGGTGCTCCTCCTCCTTCTCCTCCTCCTCCTCCTCCTCCTCCTCCTCCTCCTCTTCCTCCTCCTCCTCCTCCTCCTCCTCCTCCTGCCTCAAGATGGCTCCCAAGATGCTCGGAGAGGCCCCAAGAGCGCTCCAAGACGGCTCCGGGTGGCCCACGGAGCCTCCCCATGGGGGCCGCCGGGATGCCATAAACCCTACGCCTTCTCGCTTCCGATGGCTTTCCGAGGCCTCAGGATGGCTCCGAGATGGCTCAAGTGGGCTCCAAGAGGGGCCCAAGAGGCCTCCAAGACGGCCCCAGGAGCGCCCAAGAGCGCCCCACAAGCGCCCCAAGGGGCGATTTACGGCACTCTAGACAGGCAGTGCTAATTGAAGCGCCCCTCTTTTTTGATCGATGTCTTCCAAGATGGCTCCAAGAGCGCCACTAAAATCCGCCGGCCCCCTTGTGGGGCCACCAGGCTGTAGGAGCGAGGTTCGCAGTTTCCTGTACCAGTTGTAGCTTGTAGTTTCCAGTGTTACAGTTCTGCTTCTTGCTGGTTACTGTAACTAGTTGACTTATTTCTGGTTACTGTAACTAGTTGATTGACCGCGCGAGGGGGGGGGAGGCCCAAACCGGCTTTTTACCACCCCCTGGGCGCGTTGTCTGAATTGCTGGGGGGGCTCGAAATCGACACCCCTCACGCAGATCCGCGGGGTCAGGGTCCAAAAACACAGGGATTTGCCACATTTCTGAAATTCGGTGCCACCCCTCACGCAGATCCGCGGGGTCAGGGTCCAAAAACACAGGGGATTTGCCACATTTCTGAAATTCGGTGCCACCCCTCACGCAGATCCGCGGGGTCAGGGTCCAAAAACACAAGGGATTTGCTACATTTCTGAAATTCGGTGCCACCCCTCACGCAGATCCGCGGGGTCAGGGTCCAAAAACACAAGGGATTTGCCACATTTCTGAAATTCGGTGCCACCCCTCACGCAGATCCACGGGGTCAGGGTCCAAAAACACATGGGATTTGCCACATTTCTGAAATTCGGTGCCACCCCTCACGCAGATCCGCAGGGTCAGGGTCCAAAAACACACGGGATTTGCCACATTTCTGAAATTCGGTGCCACCCCTCACGCAGATCCGCGGGGTCAGGGTCCAAAAACACAATGGATTTGCCACATTTCTGAAATTCGGTGCCACCCCTCACGCAGATCCGCGGGGTCAGGGTCCAAAAACACATGGGATTTGCCACATTTCTGAAATTCGGTGCCACCCCTCACGCAGATCCGCGGGGTCAGGGTCCAAAAACACAGGGGATTTGCCACATTTCTGAAATTCGGTGCCACCCTTCACGCACATCCATCGCAAGGCGTGGTAACCCAAACTGCGAGAACTCCCTCGGCCCTTTAATCGCAAGGTGTGGTAACCAAGCCCGTAAACCATACACGTCTTACCAATCGCCAGGTGTGGTAACCCCTCTTGTGATCAGTTGGTTTTGCTGATTGCGAATCGGCTTCGCATGAAGTTTCGATACTGCTTCACGACAGCGCCAAGGCCTCATGACTTAGCTCTTCCATGGCCCATTCTCCGAGAGAGGGGGCCGGCGGCAGGGGGCGAAGCCCTTACGGATTTCGAAAAGCGATAAAAGAGGGCCCCAAGAGGCGCCCAGACGGCCTCAAGAGGCGCCCAAGGGGCCTACAAGAGGCTCCTAAGAGACCCCCAAGAGGCCTCAAGATGATCCCGAGGCACCCAAGGCTGCCTTGGGCCCGCCAAGATGCCCTCCCCCAGGCGCCCCAAGAGACCTCTAAAAAACTTCCAAGCGACATCCGAGGAGACTCCGAGAAGCATTCAAGAGGCTTCTGGCTCTTCTGTTCGACCTTGTCCTCCTCATACTCCTCCTCCTCCCCCTCCGTTTCCTTCTCCTTCTCCTCCTTCTCCTCCTCGTCCGCTGACTCCTCCTCCTCCTCCTCCTCCTCCTCCTCCTCGTCCTCCTCCTCCCCCCTCCTGCCTCCTGCCTCCTGCCTCCCCCCCTACTCATCATCATCATCATCATTCATCAACAACAACACAATCACCATCACCACCACCATCTCCATCACCACCACCACCACCATCACCACCATCATCATCACCACCACCACCATCAGCATCATCATCACCATCATCAGCGTCAGCATCATCATCAGCATCATCACCATCATCATCGTCATCATGATCACAATCAAAACCGTAATCATAATCACCATCATCATCGTGAGTTTTTATGTTTTCCTCCTCCTTTTCTCCTCCTCGCCCTCCTCCTCATCCCCCTCCTCCTCCTCCTCCTCCTCCTCCTCCCCCTCCTCCTCCTCCTCCTCCTCCTCCTCCTCCTCCTCTTGCTCATCGTCCGATCCCTCCTCCATCCTCCCCCTCTTGGGGTATGGCGTCTTACCCAACCCTTCATTCCACTGCATTCTACTCCACATCCCTGATCAGGGCAACTCGTCTGGACATCGTCTCTTGATGGGCTGGTGGGGTTGCTCGAGGTGCCTAGAATCTGAAGGATGCCTGCAACCAGATGAGCCTCAGCGAGGGGGTCCGATACCCCAGCGTCGATCAGACCCGCATAGGTAGTAGAGGGTGGTAGTAGGAGGGAGAAAACACGATATAAGCATGAGCTGCCAAATCTCCACGCAAATTTCTTCGTGCGTCGTGCGTCGGAGGATGCATGCGCTGACCGGCCGGTGAAGGAATCCAGCGGCCCGCTGTCGCAAAACATCTTAGAGACAGCACAGTCGACCATGACATAAACGTGGGGCTCTCTCGAGGCCATCGGGTACTTTTTGTGCAGAAGGGCGACGGCGCACGAGAGCAACGGCCAGCCTCGAAACACAGACTCGGTCAGCACAGCACAAAAACAGTTAATATTCGGCTCAAGTTGGGCGGGAGGGCCCAGGGAAGAACTTGAGCAAGGAGGTGCGGCCACATACAAACCCACAAATGCCGACAAGTCGCTGTATGTGGGGCTCTCTCGAGGCCATCGGGTACTTTTTGTGCAGAAGGGCGACGGCGCACGAGAGCAACGGCCAGCCTCGAAACACAGACTCGGCAACTAACGCTAGTCACAGCAAATGGCCACAGCCGCAACACTTCATTGACCATACATTTTCCTGTATCTAGCGGCGCGAAATAATTGCCGAGCGGTGGCCACTATCACGTCAGTGCCTGCAATGGCTACTTGAAAGGGAAGCCCACGAGCTGAGCAACGTGCAACGGCATCCAGCGCAGGACGCCCTAGGCCGCCAAGGTGGCGGCGGCCAGTGCGGTCACACAGGCCTAGGGTGCAGAGGCGACGGCGCGACAGACAATTGAGATCTCGGACGCCCCATCCGATCAAAAACTATCTCTGCCGAACCCGACCCGAGTACATGCAGGAATCGAGAGAGCAAGAAGAGGAGGCAGAGGCGAGGAGCGAGGAAAGGAGCGGATGTCGCCAGATCAGGCTTGACTCTGGGTGCCAGAAGATCACAGGCACCTGACGAGCCGCGCATTCCCGAATCAACTTAAAGACAGACGCTGCTAGGGCGTTCGCCACGCGAATGGCACGAATAATGGTGTCGTCACTGCTGGCGGCCTTAAGCGGGGCGTCGGGGCGGCGGCATCGAACGCCGCTCGAGGACCAAGTCGCAGACGGCAGAGACGCCCACAGCCCTGAGACGGCAGATGATCGCACCCAGCCCAGCAGCGTCTGAACGACCCGAAGATCCGAGGCGTCCTCTGTACGATGTCTGGCTAGGTTGATGGCCACTGTTCCTAGCCCGCGATCCTCGCAGGCCGGTCGAACGCGAGTCGGCACGCAGATACACAATGTAACGAAGTACGGCAAAACAGAGGCGCGCACACGGGCGCGCCGCCACAGCCTATTCAGTCGAACCTCCACTGATCGGTCAGCTTGGGCGCAGTCTTCTCTGCAGCCGGCGCTGACGCGGGCACCAGGGGCGGCAGGTGGAGCGGAAAGATGCCCAACCTCGCCGTCACCTCCATCAGCTGCAGCAGCCTGGCCTCAACCTTGTCGCCGAAGTCCACCAGCGCGGGTGAGAGCTGCCCCAGACGCTGCTGCATCCGCGCCCGCTTCGCATAGCGGTTCAAGGATTGATCCGTCCGCCAGCGCCCGCGGTCCTTGACCTCCTTGCGCGTCCGACGGCCCGATAGGAGATCGTCGGATGCCCCTCCGCGCCGAAGGGAGCGCAGCGACGTCTGCTCGCCGTCGAGCTGCAGCGT